CGTCTTCTTCTCAATTACTTCCTGGGACTCGCATATTCGCTTGTATTGGCAACCTCAAACCTTCTACAAATTTTTTTAAGGCGGCTGAATCTACAACTTTTATTTTGTACGCCATCAAGCGGGCATTCACTGATTTTAATGAAGACAGCTTCCCAAAAATCTTCAATACCTTAATAAGGCCACAGCTTGGATACGCCATTCAAGCGTGGAGACCGTGAATGCGACGGGATTATAACGCAATCGGAAGGGTTAAGACGAGGGCCACAAAATCTTTAACAGACCAATGTGCCCTACCACATGAGATCCGTCTAAATAACCTTAATCTCTATCCTCTGAGTTATAGGAAGTTACGCTATGATCTGATACAAAACCTTTCGCATCTTGCGTGACTTTGACTGCGCTCTCACGTGTGACTACTGTTTCCAACTCGCTACTACAACTGATCTCCGGAAGCATCACTTCAAACTGCATGTGCCCCAAAGAAGATTGGATGTGAAGGAGTATTTACTTCTCTAACCGAGTCGTGTATCCGTCTAATAACCTACCCGAGGCGAGTGCTATGTCCTAATCTGTGGAAATATTCAAACACCGACTTGATATCCATATGTTGCAGCACAACATAAATTATTTAACTATTTTACCTTGAAAAACCAACGCACGATGTGACTCTGTCTACATTTACCCGACTGATTTTTTACATTGTTTATAATTCTGGAGATTTTTATGTGACAAATAGGGAGTTAATGGGCGCAAGCATATTTTTTCCTAAGATGCACTGAAGATAGTTCGACCGTCGCTCTCGAAGATGTTCATCACGAGCCTCAGCAAAATGAAACAGCGTCATGACTGCGGCTGGATTACAGTGAAAGTAATCTTGCCGGATCTACCCTACTCTCTGACCACTCCTACACCCGAACCCGATGTCAAGACAAAAGTCGAGAAGACCGGAAATGGGGGACGGCGCAAGCGGTGTGTGCGAAACACACTCCAACACGCGCCACAACAACCCTACCTTACCAGGTAGGCTCCCGTCCTAGAGCGCGATAAAAGCCACATTAATAAGGAGCCATTGAGCCTGACTGTAGTAAGCCACTTCGCACAACAAGACACACTGGGCCGACTGTGGTGTCCAAGTTATTCCGTCAGTTGGCAATCCTCCAAACCACGGCTTTTAGCGCACCGTGATAGCTTCGAGTGCATTAGATTGTTTTCAGTGAGAAAAAAATGCGCTGAAGGTCGACGTC